CACTCCAGTCTGGGCGACAGAGTGAGACTTGTGGATCCTTCCAGCCATGTTGAAGACCTTAGAAACAAGGTAGTCTTGCCTCAAACTAGTCTAAAAACCTAAATAGAGAGATGCTACCCAAAATCAGATTACAGAGCTGAAGTAGTAAGCTTTGAAGAGTGCCATATGACATGGACAAGCCAAAGTTTATGATTTTTTTTTTGAGTTGAAGTCTCACTCTGTTACCCAGACTGGAGTGCAGTGCCTGCTCCCAGCCACCGCAGCCTTGACCTGCTGGGCTCCGGCGATCCTTCCGCCTCAGCCTTCAAATAGCTGGAACTACAGGCGCGTGCTACCACGCCCGGCTGATTTTGATTTATTGTAGAGATGAGGTCTCGCCAAGTTGCCCAGGTGGGTCTCAAACCCACGGTCTCGGGCAGTCCACTCACCTCAGCCTCCCAAAGGCGTGAGATTACAGGCTGAACCACCGAGCCTGGCTAAAGTTTATGATTTTTAAGCCCTTTCAGGTTCCAACCACAAAGTAAAATAATAATAAAACCCATTACCAAAAGACAAGTCTGAATTTTCAAGGAACATTAATAAAAATGCTAATCTGAGCGTTAGAATTGCTACTTGGGGATCTCCACTGGAAATTGTCTTTACTGTCTTTGAAACATAACAGGAGTGAAGCTTTGTGCCTCTGTGGAGAACAGAGAACAGAGGCCCTTTCATAAGCTTTGAGCAAGCTGCTCTGATGCCGATTTTATAAACAAGAAACATTTCAGCCACGAATCTATCTTGTGAGATTGAGCTGAAAACTCATCTAATTCAAACATATGGGCTTGCCCCAGAGGTGTGAAATCTTTCAGATAAGGGTAGAATGAATGTTCTAAATTGTTAAAGGCTGGCCTTGAGAGCAAGGAGCACAGCTTTTGTCCTGAAGAAGCTCATAGATAAACTTTTGCCCAGGTGTCCGACTTCACTGGAAATCTGATTTAAGCATTGCAAAAAGTATACCCATTTAGAAAATTTTGCCTGTCCTCCATTTTGTTTCAGGATGGTAAATTGAGCCATAAATCAAGCTTAAATTGAATCCCTAAAACTTTTGGTATTGTCAAAAAATTAATCAGCTCTATAGAAGTGATGATATGACAAACATGAAATATTGAGTTGAAAAAGAGGCATTCCCTTTGTATTGATGATGTTGACGTCTTTGGAAATAGTTTTGTTTCTCACTTAAATATGACTAAGCTCTGTGACTGTATAAGTTTTTTTAAAACAACAGTGCTATACTACAGGATGTGTATGTACTACTGCTCAGAAATAGGAAATGATGTTGAGAGACAGTCTTTGGACTCAAAAAGGTCTGGATTTGAATCCCAGCTCTGTCTCATGTAGCTACATGTTACCTCAATTTTCTCATCTGCAAAGTGAAGCTGATAATAGCTGCTCCATAGACTGTTATGGTGATTAAATTAAAGAATATATGGGTGAGGTACCTGGCTCATAGTACATGCTCAGTAAAACGGTTGCTGTTATTAAGATATAGTTCTTGTGTCTCACTCACTGGCATAATCTTACCAGTGAGGAAACAAATTAAGGACTTACCAAGCTAACTGAGGAAATGAGAACTTAAAGAATTCACTCTTGACTTTCTTCTTTAGTGCCTCATATGTAAGTCTTGTCTGTCTACTAGATTCAAATGAAGCCCATAAAGACAGATATTGCATTTTCTCCTTCTTTCCTATACCCCACAGTGACCAACACAGTACTAGACAACTAACAGATATTCAGGAAATGCTTGCTGGCATAACCTTACTTAGCAACATCTTATATCTGTGTATATTCCTTTTAGGAGAATAAGCTTATGCCTTGCCATATAGGAATCTGAAAATTTCCCTATAACTTATTTTCTAATATAACCACAGAGGAATTTCACCATCTTCAAATCATGTTGCTTTCCAACTGGTTGCTAGGCTCATCTTTAGCCCTTTTATTATTTACTAATTTGTAAATATCATTAACATGCCAACTGGGATTGAAATAACTTTCTTTGTTTTAATTATATTTTTTTTATTTTAAAATTGTGGGGTACAGTTAGGGGTTAGATATACAAATGTTCATTGTGCCAGTACCCTTGTAAATAACTTTCTTGTCTCTATTTTTTTTTTTTTTTTTGAGTTGGAGTCTCACTCTGTTGCCCAGTAGCACTCTCACGGTCACCCCAGTGTCAACCTGCTGGGCTCCAGCGATACTTCACCTCAGCCTTCCAAGTAGCCGGAACTATAGGCTTGCACTACGATGCCCGGCTAATTTTTGATTTATTGTAAAGACAAGGTCTCGCCAAGTTGCCCAGGCTTGTCTCGAACCCGCAGGCTCAGGCAATCTACTTGCCTCGGCCTCCCAAAGTTCTGGGATTACAGGTTGAACCTCCGAGTTCGGCCTTGTCTCTATTTTTAAATGAAAATATTAATTTTCTGATATCACTTAGATTAGCTAGAGGTCTTTTATAACCTTTTTACTTGAACTTAACCTTTTTACTGACCAATTTTTCAGTAGCTTTATGTTGAGCAAGTCTAATGAAGACCTCCTATAATTTATGCATTTTTTTCCCCAAGCTCTGTTGATGTCCTAATATTTGATTACTATTTTGGGGAAAACTTTAAAATGCATTACTTCTTTGAAATTCTTAAAGGTCTGAGTATATAACAATATTAAGTACAGACTGAGGAACAGATAGGACTTTACATACGACATAAATTTATAATAATTAGGTTTTGAGTCTTTGAGGAGTAGGAACATGGATGATCCAGAGAGTACATATTACTAATAATGGCATAAATTTGTATGGAGCTTTAAATTTGTCTTTATTTCTACAAGGATACTTCTGATCTGTGAGGTATATAAAATACTATAGCAGTTCTTTATCTGTGAGGGAATGAGGCCCACAGCAGGCAGTTGGGTGACTTTCGTGAAGTCATAGTGGCAGAGCTGGGATAAGAAGCTAGATTTTCTTTGTCTTAGTTTTTTCAGACCTTGCTGAGAATTGTAGCTCAAAAGTACAATCCCAGCCATCAGCTGTTTTCTACTCTGTAACACAGTTGATTATTCTACATTCCACGTGAAAATATTTCCCATTTGACTCCGACAATGCTCTTTCTGTTTCCCTCCCAGTTTGAACGCCATGACCCTGTGGATGGGAGAATTACTGAGAGGCAGTTTGGTGGCATGCTGCTGGCCTACAGTGGAGTGCAGTCCAAGAAGCTGACTGCCATGCAGAAGCAGCTCAAGAAGCACTTCAAAGAGGGAAAGGTAGGTAGCTTAGACTGGAGGCGGAAAATAAACCATGGAAACATGATTATTGCAGAGGTTCTAACATAATGACCAGAGTGTGTCACAAACTAAGCATTACAACTAGTTCATCTCTGCTACCTGAGGTCCAAAGGGAGAAAAGAAATGAGCAGCAGGTAAGGAAGAGGAGAGCATCCAGAATAATCTCATGTTTCTTGTTCAGGCAAAGGATGGCACCTTGGTCTGAGATTGAGAATATTAAAGGAGAGACTGGTTTAGATGGGAAGATAAAGAGTTCCATTGTGGACATCTTGAATTTAAGATGTCTGTTGACTATCCAAGTAGAGGTGATCGGCAGGCAGCTGGACCCCAGTGGTCTGAGATAAATTTTAGAATCACCACACACTTTTAGAGTTAAAACCATGATAATGAATGAGATTGCCCAAGGAGGGTATTATGCAGAAAAGAACTGTGAGCCAAAGATAGAATCCACTGGAACACTAACATTTAAGCAGTTTAAGAAAAATCTAGATGAATTGGTTAGAGAAATACCTAGAGAGAGTGGTCAAATCAAAGCCATGGAAGTAGCAGGTTCAAGAAGTGAGAGATCTACAGTGTCACATGTAACAGAGAGGGCCCAGTAAGATAAAGATATTATCCACTGATTTTGGTGAAATGACAACAATTGATGACCTTTGAGAGAGCTGTTTCACTGGAGTGGTCCAGTTGGAAAGCATATTAGATGAAAATCACGGAAGTAGAGGAAGAGAAGAGAGGCAGAAGAGGTGGAAGAAGGAAGAAGAGGCTCTGGACAGAGGGACATTATGCATGCCAGTCTCTGAGGCAGTATTTTAGTCTGCTTGCACTGCTACAACCAAGTACCACAGACTGAGTAGCTTTAACAAGAGAAATGTATTTTCTCACAGTTCTAGACATCTATGATCAAGGTGTCAGGCTGTTTGGTTTCTGAGAGCTCTCTTCCTGCCTTGCAGATAGGCACTTTTTCAATGTGCCCTCCTCAGGTGTATGCACATGAAGAGAGTAAAAGCTTTTTGGTATTTCTTTTTTTTTTTTTTTTTTTGAGTTGGAGTCTCACACTGTCACCCAGACCGGAATGCAATGGCCGCTCCCGGCCACTACAGCCTCGACCTGCTGTGCTCCGGCGATCCTTCCGCCTCAGCCTTCCAAGTAGCTGGAACTACAGGTGTGCGCTACCACGCCCGGCTAATTTTTGATTTGTTGTAGAGATGAGGTCTCGTCAAGTTGCCCAGGCGGGTCTCGAACCTGCGGACTCAGGCAGTCCATTTACCTCCCCTCTCAAAGTGCTGGGATTACAGGCTGAGCCACCACGCCCGGCCTGGTATTTCTTTTAAGAACACTAATCCTTAGCTAGACGTGGTGGTGTGCATCTGTAGTTCCTGGGAGGCTGAGGTGGAAGGATCACGTGAGCACAACAGGCCGAGGTTGTGGTGGCTATGAGCTTGCCACTGCACTCCAGCCTGGGCAACAAGAGTGAGGCTCCAACTCAAAAAAAAAAAAACCACTAATCTTATCAGATTACAACCCCTACCCTTGTGACCCAACAATTTAACCCTGTTTCTGCTAAGGCCCCATACAGCACCACAGGGGACTGTTGCTTCAACACATGAATGAAAGGGGGGCACAAATATTCAGTCCATAACAGGCAGAAAAGACAAACCTGGCATATGTGAAGAACTGAAAGGGGACTAGTGGTTAGAGCATACCAAGCAAGAAGGAGAATAGCCTGAGATGAGCTCAGAGAGGGAGATGAGGACCAGAACATGCAGGACCTTGTAGGGATGAAGGGAGTTTGGAGTTTATTCACAGTTCACTGGGAAGCTATTAAGGAGTTGTGAGCAATGAAATGACATTGGTTGTATGTACACTTAAAGAGATGACCCTGGATGTCTTATGAAAAAATAGTTTGGGAAAAAAGCAAGCATAGAGGCAAAAAGACTGATAATAAGGCTATTAGAGAATTTAGGAAGAGATGACTTAGAGTTTTTTGAGCAGCATTGAGATGGATTTGTGGTAACACTAATCAACACTGCTCTCTGACACCCTTCAGCACTAGCTGCCCTGGAGCAGGAAAACGGCAAATGGTAAAACTGAGCCGGCATCTGGAGATGAGACCAACAAACTGAAGCAGAGACCCGTTAAGAAGTCAGGCTTCCAGGCACAGCGTCTCATACCTGTAATCCCATTTTGGGAGGCCAAGGCTTGAGCCCAGGAGTTTTAAAGGCTCAGTACTGAAAATAAGAAATAGGCTTGCCAGTGTTTGTCCTAGTTTTCTTAATTAGTCTATGCAAGAAATCTTGCATGAATAGCATTGCCCTGAGTTAGTAGAAAGCCCTTCTTGTCTCAGATGTTGAAAAGTTGAAAGGACCTCTGAACCAGACCTTGGGCTGCAAATGAGGGCAGGCTGGGCTTTGAGAGAAAGTGTCAGCTTCTCTGAACTCAGTCCACCGTTTTCACACAGCAGGTATCTCTTGGCTGTTGGGAAAATTCATCATTAATGAAAAGTGACAGAGAAAAATATTTCTCTCCCAGAGAACACTTTTACACTACTATCCAGTATCCAGCTCATATCTGTTGGAAATTATAATTTCAAAAATTGATTTCATGCCAAGCACAGTGGTCATGCCTATTGTCCTAGCACTTTGAGAGACTGTGGCAGGAGGATAGCTTGAGGCCAGGAGTCTGAGACCAGCCTGGGCCACATAGTAAGATTCCATTTCTACTAAAAATTTAAAAATTAAAAAAAAATTAATTACAAATATATCGGTGGATTTTTTAGCCCCTATGCTGGAAGTATATAGTGTTTGCATTCAGAAACACTCCTTCATTTTGACTAGACTTTAGAGGTTGGTCTTTCACAGTTTTCTGGATGGCACAAAAAAGGAAAAGAAAAAATTGATCCAGACATTGATTTGACCTTAAATTGATTGCCTATCATGATAGGCAAATTAATATTTCATTATTAATTTATATTTAAAGCAATGAATTTGATGTTGGAGATGTCTTCTTTGAAGGAATAGAGTATTTTACTTTGGTAGGAGTTAATTTGGAACTAGAATACCTTGCAAAAGAGATCTGAAGTGAAAGGACAAATTTTGTCAGATGATGAAAATTGAAGATACTAAATTACTTCTGGACCAGAGTTTCCAGCTTGCTTTAGCAACAAGATTAAGATTGATTGTCCTTTCGTGTTGATTAAATAGTTTGTGAACATGCAATTAACTAAAATGAGAGTTATTGAAGGCCCTTTGCTCCTAAGGTTACCAGTCCATCTCCCTAGGACCATTTCCCATTAAAGGGGAATCACCATCTGCTTTTCCATTGCTTCTTTTATCCTACTTTGAATTTGTTTACATGAAAATGTAAATTTCATTTGGCTCACATTAATCAGTTTTTGTGTGGGGTTCTGTACAACGTATCAAACCAGACCTAAAGGATTGACGGTCCTAGTGGTGGTATTAAATTTTTGCATATACTTATTGTCTATGCAATGCTTCTCAGCCATTTTTCCCTTTCTGTCTTTCTAACAGCCTTGTTAGATATTGTGCCTTTGAGAATACAGAGACAGAAAGAGAAGTTAATGACCACTCAGAGTCTGATCTAAAATCCAAGGCCTCCTATTCCACATCTTGTCTTTTTTATACCAAAGTCCTGTTTCTAACTATACTCTTCCTCTAAAGCAGTGCTTTTCTACAATAGGATCACTTAGGGAATTTTTAAGAAATATGGTTGTAGAGGCCCTCTTCAAACCAATTAAATCAGAAGGGTGGGTTCATGTGTCATCAGTGTTTCTTTTTTTTTTCTTTTCTTTTCTTTTTTTGCCCTCTGGATGAGAATTTCCGGAAGTGTTTCTTAAAGGCTTCTCACATGATTCTATGTGCAGCTAAGCTTGTGAGCCACTGCTCTGGAGTGTCTGTTCCATCAGTGTCTCTAGCTGTTTTATTCCCGAGTAAAGCTTGAAGAATTGGGGAACCTGTCATGCCTGGGAAGAATTCGTCTGTTGATGCTCTGACAACCACCATGTTTTTGTTTAACAAATAATTTACTGACACTTCATAAATATAATTCACAGTGATGATCCGCTATGTTTATGAGTAAGAAATTTATTGATACAGGAATATAATTGAAAATCACAGTTTAATTCAGTGGCAGGTATTTCTATGTGCAAGACACTAAGCCAGGTGCTATGACAGATATCACCCCCTATCCTTAAGAACTATTAATATATATATATAGTTAATAGTCTGTAATAGTCCAGTAAAAGAAAAATAATGTATGCCAAGAACTATATAATTTCCCATTCACGTTTATACTCAGTATTTATTGAGCACCTCCTCTGTGCCAAGTACTTTTCCTCTTTTTTTTTTGAGTTGGAGTCTCACTCCATCACCCAGGTTAGAGCGCATTGGCATGCTCACAGCCACCCCAGCATCAACCTGCTAGACTCAGGCGTTCCTTCTGCCTCAGCCTTCCAAGTAGCTGGGACTATAGGTACACACTACCATGCCCGCCTAATTTTTTGATTTATTGTAGAGACGAGGTCTTGCCAAGTTGCCCAGGCTGTTCTCGAACCCATGGGCTCAGGCAATTTCCTCATCTTGGCCTCCCAAAGTGCTGGGATTACGGACTTGAGCTGCCACACCGGGCCACCAAGTACTCTTCTAAATATTGGGAATGCAGAGTGAGCAAAACATTTTCTGCCTCCTAGAACTTAACATTCCTAGTAGAAGGAGACAGATTTTGAACAAATAAATATAAAGCAAGGCAACTTATTTAGCTTTGAGCTTCTTGAGAGTGACACCTTACTCGTCCTTGCATGTCCTCTGTATAATGAGTAAATGAGTAGGTAATTGCATATCAAATGCAATGATCAGGCCAGGTGCAGTGGCTCATGCCTATAATCTCAGTATTTTGGGAAGCCAAAGCAGGAGGATTGCGTGAGCCCAGGAGTTCGAGATCAGTCTAGGCAACATAGCGAGACC